GAGATGTATCTTATATATAAAGCTGAATGTCTATTTGTATGTCTGTATGTCTGATTATACGTATGTTCCGGATAAAAAATTTTATTTTTGAACCGATCCGGACCAAACTTGGCACACATACACCTCGGGGCCGAGCGGCTGTCGTAGGCTACTGTTCGTCATGAATCGATATCGATTTTATCGATTTTTTTAAATTTGAACTGCGGGGCTGGGAGTTGGTACAGGGAGTAATGGAGCATGCTGATTACTAAAACAGCGGGAATAGTGAAGTGGCATGTAGGCGTGGGCACAGGGAAAGGTTGTACTGGGTTAGGGATGAGAGCTTTATCATAGTGTTTTGACAGGGTCGGGCGGAGCCGGATAAGCCAGCTAGTAACATATAAAACTTGAGAGATAATTATGCCTAACCATAATGGAAGTTTCGGGGTTCAGCACGTGTAAAAGTAGAACCAACATTGTGGGCTGATTTCATAATTCGACACTTTTAGGATAGACAGAGAAAAAAAATGGAGCACTGCAAACAGGGCGCCGTTTGCGATAGGGTCTCAATCTCGAGGCCGCTGAAACTTTTTGCTTTATGTTCGTCTGTCGTGCTAATACATGTAACAGCAGTAACCTTTTCATCCATGATTATTGGCAGCGTGAAGCTTATCGAGAATAAAACATTTTTGTCAAGCCGTGAAGGGCAGGGCATACTTGGAAAGAAGCAAATCGTCGCAATTCGTTATCATCGCGATCTCTTGGAAAAATCGATGAAATCGCAGCGACTAGGTCGCTAACCGCTCTATGTAGACATAATTCTTCAAAATATGGCGTATTTAAACACTGTGTTTTGCGTTCCCGTCCTCAAACTTGGGCCTAGGGCTTACTGGAGTTGATGATCATCAAAATGACACCTATTTTGCACAAAACCGTTTTTAAAGATTATGGTTAGTGTGAGCTAATCAAGTCCTTAGAACTGCTGAAAGTTTACATAGTTACTTATTTGGCCACTATTATCATAATATAATCCTCACGGTAACGCATTATGGCTGAGATTAAAGTGGAGCCTTATAGCGTACCTCGGGTACCTACAAAATCGACAAAAAACCTCCCTGATACAGGCGATTCGCATGCGAACGGCGGGCGTGACCCTGCAGACATCTGAACACGTAGGAGAACTTATTGAACCTTCACTTTCAAGCATTAGTTTCTGCACTCTCTAGCTATCAAAAACTCCCACGCGCATACGTTGGCAAACGTCGGCAAAGCTCCACCCGCTACACTGTGGAGAATAGACGATATCACCCCGTACAAACCACTCGGTTAACCCCTCTGAGAAGTGAAATTCCGCACTTTGATTAGACATCATGTACCCGTCGTAACTTCCACGATTTGGCGTTTTTGCATAAAGTGACTGTGATATTTATTAGCACTTTGAACAGCCTTATAAATCAATATCAGCAAGGTACGTGATTTCGAATTTTTTTGGGGCACGCATACTAGGAAAACACCAAAAACTGCGATGGTGCAGATTGTGATCACTTTGTAAACATCATTGCAAAACATTTGACTAATCTTAGCGATATAGTCGCGTTACTCGTTAAAGGCCAGCGACGCGATATCGCTGAAGTTCGGCCGAAACGCGACGATTCCGATGAAGGCAGTACGCCCCAGAAAAAAGGCCGGTCAGCGATTAATTGCGTCGGAGAAAATCGCAACCGAGATAGGGTGATCGGCTTGCAATGAACTCTCAAAGGCAGCGTCCAGGCAAACCTGGACATATGGGGCTCTTTCCTGTATAGTAATCTTGGGGCCCTAACTAGGACACTGTCCAAGCAGCAGCTCAGGTAGTGCTCTAACGGCTGAGATATTTGTTTCGAAACTGGACCCCCGGGTCGTATTTCGCATGGACTCATGGCGCAATCCATGGGTCCTTGCGCGAAATTTATGGTTTGCGCCATGAATCCATGCGAAATACGATCCCGGGGTCCAGTTTCAGGCGAATTTCTCAGCCGTTAGTGCCCTACCTGAGCTGCCGGTTAGGCAGTGGCTCAGTTAGGGCCCCAAAATTACTATCCACGTGAGATCCCCATGTGTCCAGATTTGCCTGGACGCTGCCTTTAACAGTCGTCTAGTCGAGCGAATTGCGAGGCGATGAAATCGCGCTGTATGCCCGTTCCTCAAAAATAGAAAACGTAAGCAAAATAAACTAGGAGAAAAGGTGAAGGTAACACTAGCAAATACTAATATCCTTAAAAATCGCGAAGCTGTACTGCGCTTAACTTGGGTCACTAGTTATTTCTGAGTTTACGGCAAGCAATTAAAACTTTCGTAATTGTTTGGAAGGAAACTGCTCTGCATTCATCAGGCTTTTTCAATTCATCACGCCTATTCAGATCATACCAATTGTCTTATGTCCTAACTTTTGCTCACGTATTGAGCCGAAGCAATATAATGTAAGTATATGCAAATAAGATTTCTTCTCTTTCCAAGGACATGATTTATGGGTGATGGGTAGTATTTTTTTTCACCTGAATCGAATTTCGCGCCAGAGGTAGCCATTCATGTGGGTCGACTGGTAAACAGTTTACGAATCAGTCGTGTCACATGGCTTTCCCTTCCGTATGGTAACCTCTTCTATAGGTCAAAGGAAACATGATAATCTCTACAAAGGTATGCACGCTTAAGCAAGCCACCTAGTGAGCATTGTATGCATGACCTGATATCGTACGAACGTTTCCTAGTGTTGTCCGACATGCTGTTATCCACACGTCGTCATGAACTTGCCGATATTTTCTGTCTTGATAAATGATTTTTGATTGCCTTTGAAAGCTAAGCGTTCTATGAACGGCTGCACTGCGTCAGGTATCGAGTTAAAAGTAAGGGACCGCCGCAGTTGGCAACCTCCTTTTTTCCTTTTTAACTTTGGCGTCATCTACATATCACTGCTTCTTTAGTAGTGCCTTAAACTTACCCTAAGCTCTCACAGATAAGTCCCCATCAAATAAGTCTATATACAATAAGTCCGCCTTCAAATAGGTCCGCTTTTTTGACTCCGTTGAGGTCCCTCGGATAAGTCCGCCTACAGAAAACTCCGTTTTCTTTCCATTATAACTACTCTGAAATCTTGTCAGATAAGTCCGAAGACTGTCAGATAAATCTGGACTTATCTGATGGGAGGACTTATTTGCAAGATTCTTGGCGGTGCAAGGGTGCATTTTCATCGATTTTTCTCGTAAAAAAACGGACTTATCTGTAACATTAGGGTACTTCAATTTCAGTAATTTCAGTTTATTTAACTAATACATATCAATCGAATTTTATCACTACCTTATTGTCATGGCCAAAATCTCATGTTATGCTGATATTATATTTCGCCTGCAATATCGTTTATTTGTATTTTATATTTGTTAATGAAGGTTTAATTACCAAAGTTTGAGGTAATCTCCCACTGCACGACTTCAAAAATCTAGAGACCCGCGTGGCAACAACGAGCAGTGTACATCGATGTCAACCACGTGCTCACCTTTCCGCAGTGTCTACGCATTCGCAGCGCTTGGGCATTGCGCAGCGATCTGCGATCAATGCGGCAGATTTAAAGGCTCAAACAGTACGCCCGCGAACGCGACACGGGGTCTTGGCGTTGCGCTTGAGCTGGTCGGCAAGGGAGCACATCGTTGACACCGACTGTACACCTATCTCAATTCATTATAGCTCATAAATTACTGCAAAAAAACGCTTTGCAGGTATTGCAGGTATAACTAAGAACAGTATTCAAAGTTCTATCCGTTGGTATACATCACTTTCCGAATCGCCACTTCGACCAAGAAAACTTTCCTTGTCAGAGACGAGGAACGGTCAGGAAGCACGATCGGCGCGAATTTTTCACGAGGCCGCAGCGCACTTCAGCCGCAACAGCAATCCTGGCGCAGTTATTGCTTATGGCATCAAGTCATGCATCTGTCCCCATCCCCACCCCTTGCTTTTGTCGCCGGAAGCTTCAAGAGCGGAAAGTTTTGCAGTTCCCAAGATTTAAACGCGGCGTGCGTGGCAAAGCGAGCATCGCGCTCGGCGTACCTCCTGACGTGAAGCCGTTAGAGAGGGCATATTTGTTAGTGCGCTATCCTTACATGGCGTCGTCTGCAAAAAATACACAAACAGGCGTTAGTGACCCTCCCCAAAGGACGCTTATGACTTCATCTCAAAAGCAAAAGTTTTTAGATAAGAAAGACACATGAGATCAGCGTTCCAAGCTTTCGGTGACGATACGCATCTTGTATTGATCTAGTGCTTCGACTCCATGATCAGCAGCAATGAGCCGGTCGTGCGGTTGAACTCCACGCGGTTGCCTCGCTCGACCGTTCCCGCACGTATCTACACCCTTTCCACATAATCTCTCCCGAAGTAACCATTGTACAGTCTGCCCCAATCCCAACCAGGCCAAAATTGGCATGGCGGGAGTCCGTATCGCGAGGGTATTGCGTCACGTCTGCGGTTATCTAGTCTGCTCTCTCCTCAATCTCTTCGCTCTCTGCGACAGCGCGCGTATGCAGCGCAAACCCCTAGCGCTGCGAGAGCGCAAAATCCGCCGACGGTTCGGCCTGATCCCGATTGGGGCAGACTGTATATTAGAAAAGTGAAAAAAGGAAACGTCCGCAAACACCGCGCAAAGCTCAGTAAAGCGGCAGCGCGAAATCCGAAAGCGCGAAACGGCGACACTGCCATTGACAGAGAGGGTATAGGCCGTCCGCGCTGTGCTCGGAGACTAACACTGTCGCATACAGTGAAGATAGATAGTAACGCTGGCGCAGACACGACATGCGGCGAGAATGCACGGGGAAAGAGGAGTGACGCGCAGTGCACACCTTGCGCACTCTCCGCGCCCTGCGCGGACGGCCTATAGTTCAAGCCAAAAGGTGAAATTTTGGGATGGCATGCCGAGCCATGTGAGCCGAGACGACCCAAACCCGAAAAGGGCCAATATAGCAAAAAACCAATAGCTTGAAAACAAAACGAACCTTTCCATTATCATTCCAGGCGGAAACACACCATAACATGGAATCTTTATCCAACAGGTATCGAGTTGCCGAAAAGTATTCGAAAAAGTCGTCAGCGACATCGAGATCGTCTACAAAAGCATGTTTTCAAGGAAATTTGTTAGATGAATGCTAACCTTCAAGGAGAATAACGGTGCTGTAATTCTGGACATCGAAGATCTGAGTCAGCGCAAGCTTGTAGTGACGAGCAATGTAATAATAAGCCGCAAATTTTTTGTGTTGTTTTGGAACGACGACGTTATCCTGCTGAGCGCTTTTGTGCTAAAACCGTTCACTAAACAGAAGTTGTAGTATCTTCTAATCGAAACGACCTTGATATAAGATATCTGCTCACGGAATTCTGCAACAGACCGCTGAACAGGGATGTTATCACAGTCCTGACTCACAATGATAGGAAACAAGTATTCAGATGGACGCAGACTGGAAAAATGTAAACAGCTGTTATGAGTGAATCAAAAAAGACATAGGACCAAAAGAATAGACTTCCTACTTTGAACATATTAATCTTGCATCAGATACTTGTAAACTGCATCAACTGACTAAGCGTAAACAGAGATGTAAATCACTCTTTATTCATGAAGAGCGTTTTCAAGAAACGAGGTGCAATGGCTGCCTGGAGGGCTGGGCATACACCAAGCAAATTTCATCGCGTCCGATTCTTCTAACATACAACTGTTGCGAGTTCATTGCCTAGTTTTCCAAGGCAGTCAATAGCGGCCAACTATAACAACCAAAAAGGATGATTGATATGCAATGGAGTCTAACAGTTATCTTAATGGAAAAATCGCGAGGCCATGAAATGACATGATTTAAACCCGCCCTTCAACGAAGTAGCTGGTTTGATTCGTTTTACAGATGTTCTTTGATGCGGCAGCAAAGAGGGCGTCCTATTTTTCCAATATACTATCATGGTGGTCAACATATTGCCCTTAAATGTGAAACGTCAATGGGTTCGAAATCGATCCTATGATCGCACATGCCTGAATCAGTATGCGTTGTTTGCCTAATTGGCAAAGAGGGTAACTGCGTGGTTTTCGAAATTACCTACTTCGTACATGCTTATCGTGTGATGATACGTATGGAGAAACAAGACGCACTCTTTGCTGCCCGTAAAAAACGTCTGATTGGGCTAAATAGATCAAAACCAGCTCCGCAATGCAGCCATCACATTTCAAGTCACAAAAGTGTTGAGATCGTATTAGAGTGTCTATACTAGCGTACGAACCGACTTCCTCGCGCGCAAACCTTGGAAGTGTTTTATATCGCCGCCAAGAATCCGAAGATGACTCAGAGGAAGATTGCATTGCGATCACCAATGAACTCGCGCCGTATCAATTCCTCTGTAGACTTTGATGCGAGGTCAGATCACCTGAGGCTATAAATAAGGGAATAGGTTTGTGTATAAGGCAGTGGCGGTCCCAGGATTTCGGACCGGAGGGGGGGGGGGGAAGGAGGGTGGCAAAATTTTTTTCAAATGAAAGTGCGTGGCGTTAGCTACGCACTCCGAAAAAATTTTTGGGGTGTTTCCCAAAATTTTTGCGGGTCCACAGCCCCTAAAATCTTGAAAAAGTCCCCGAGAAGAAATTGTTTACAAGGCTAATTTGAATTTTTGAAAATTTTAAAAATTATTTTGATTATTTACAAAAATAAACAAGTCACTTGCACATTTTTATAACCCATGTAAGTAATTTCGCGACCCATCCTCGGGGGGGGGGGGCTCCTGGGTTCGCCACTGGTATATGGTGGTCTAACACATCTTTTCAAGTCATATAAGGTGAGTAATGGTTACCCGATTCTTTCTTTTCCCTTTCTTAAAATCTTCAAACTAACTTTTAGCTGTGCTCTTGGCGTTTAAAGGAATGTTTACTTATCAACTTTTTAAGCTTTGACGAAGGTGATCTCGGGGGCAGAGTTGGCAGAGAAGTAGCGCCCTTGACTACAGCAAGGAAGGTTACAAGTTCGGTTTCGCGGCGGACCTAATTTCGTTAACAAAGCTCTTTCCACGAATCCAACGTCAGGCTGCTCACCCAAAGGAAGCAAGCGACCGACAAGCCGGCTAAGAAGACAACAGGTCGCATCAAAATGCTTATATTTCTACAAGATTCTCGTGTAAAAGCTAGAGCGTTCCCTGGAGGCAAAGGCCACATGGCCCATGCCACAAGGACCATTAGCAGCATCCGCTCCGGAAGTTTAGAAGCTCAGTTTGCTCCGGAGCTTCCCTTGCGATTGTTTGAGTAGGAGAAGTTCCAAGCTCCAACAACGTGCGCGGGGGCGGCTAAAGGAGCTAGCTCACCATGGGAAAAGTTCCAAGCTCTCAGCACTGCGTCTAGCGAGCATCAATGTAGGACCACTAATAGGTCGTCATCGCAAACTGGCGGATCTTCTCAGAAGACGTAAAGTCGACGTTGCTTGTATTCAAGAAACCAGATGGAAGGGTGGAAGTGCATGCGAGATCGGAGATGGCTACAAGCTTCTGCATAAAGGAACGAACAACGGGAGAAACGGTGTCGGCATAGCCGTATCTGAAGCACTTTATGTAGATCGAATGGGTAACTCTTATGAGCTTAAGATTGGATACTGGCAAGGAAGTACTTCAAATAGTGACCGCCTATACACCACAAACAAACTGCGAAGAAACGGAGAAGGAGCAATTCTGGGAACAGCTCGATGACTATGTCACCTCCATTCCACAGGAAGAGATATGACTAATTAGTGCAGATCTCAATGGACATGTGGGGGAACAACAAAAAATTAGTCTACAGAAGTGTCATAGCAACCACGGATACGGCACCGTAGCGCTGAAGGAGAGCGTATTCTAGAGCTCGCTACAACTCATGAATTAGCCTTGGCAAGTACGTACTTCATCGAGAAGACCAACCACCTCGTCACGTATGTTAGTGGAGACCGCAAGTCGCAAATAGACTTCTGGAGTGTACGCTACAACGAGCTCAAGTACGTAAAGTACAGCAATCATCCAGATGAAGAGTACGTACCGCAACATCGGTCGCTGATTAGATTTCAACGTACCAATTGACAGGAGGAGGGCTATGACAGAAGCTGAAGTACACATCAAATGGTGAAAACTCAAGAACGACGCCCGCACAAAAGCGCTCATGAAATCTGCCTTGTCAGAATTGCAAGGTAATCCAAACGACTCTTGTACGATTCTGAAGCACAACGTTCATCAGATAGCTAACGATCTACTTGGGAGCACAAAGCCAGGAAGAAGGAAGCTCGACAAGGAAATCTGGTGATGGAATGATGAAGTTCAGATAGTGATAAAGAGCAAAAAAATGGCAAACAGAGCATGGCAGAATATAAGAACAGAAAATGCTCACCAGAAGTATCTAGAAGCGAGACGTGAAGCCAAGAGAAGAGTCAGAGAAGCGAAAGAAGGGTATGTGTCAGAACTATACGACAAACTACGTACTCGCGAAAATGAACGAGACATCTACCGGATCGCTAAGAGAAGAGCAAGCTCTGCAAAAGATGACACTACTACAACATCAAGGATGCGCATGGAAGAAATCTGAGGAACCCGCAGGAGCTCAACGAAAGATGGAAATCGCACTTCGCAGAGATGGCGTAAGCAAACAACGAAAATGCGCCCACCGTAACAGCTGAACCGGTTAATGGACCAATACCAGCGATCACGGAAGAAGAAGTCTGCACCGCCATAATGATGAAGAACGGCAAGGCGACGGGCTCAGGCGATATCCTTAGCGAGTTCTGGAAGAAAAGTGGACAGGCAGGAGTTTCGTGGCTAACGCGTCTTCTGAATCAGATAGTAGCGTCCTAGAATATCCCAGATGACTGGCAAAGAAGCAGGACGGTACCGATGTGGTAGAATAAAAACGATGTAGCTGACTGCTCCGCCTACCGACCAATCCGCCTCATCTGCCACAAGCTGAAGACCTTCGAATGAATACCAGAGACGTGACTCCGAAATATCGTAGAACTGGCCCCTAACCAATGCGGATTCGTGAAAGGATGCAGTCCAACAGATGCATACACATCGCCAAAATAATGATTGAAAGAAATAGGGAAAAGCATGTAAGCTCCACGCGGCCCCTTCCTGGATCTGAAGAAGGCATCCGATAAAGTAGCACTACATGATATGGTGGGCACTGCGGAAGCATGAGGTACCAGAAGACCGATAAATCCAAATGATATACAAGAATGCCACCAGCTATGTACGAACAGCAGCTGGACGTACAGAGGACTTCCACATAGACGCCAATGCACATCAAGGATCCGCACTCTACCCCTCCTTTTCATCACAGTGATGGATACGATATGCAGAGGCTTCATGCGCCAACCTCCATGGTCCGTACGCATATGATGTGCTCTTGATGGCAAGAAGCGGGAATGAATTGGAGATGCATGCAACGATATGGAAAGAGCAACTTGAACTTCGCTGTGAAGATCAACACCGCCAAGACAGAATACATGGAGCTGGGACTTCAAACGCCAGGGACGATCCAAAGTGCAAGCACGCAGCATGGCTGAAGTGGAGATGCCTCTCAGGAGCGCTATGCGACAAACGGATGCCGCTCAAGTTGAAATCCTAAATGTACCGTACCGTAGTCCGCCCAACCGCGTATGAAAGTGAATGCGCCGTGCACACATAAGGAGGAACGGAAGCTTGGTGTGATGGAAACACGTATGCTACGATGGACGATGGGCGTTGCGATGCTCGCCATTTCACCAACGATACCATACGAACAACAATGAAAGGGCCCCAATAGTCAAGAAAGTACAAGAAAGACGGCTCAGATGGTATGGACATGTGAGAAGACGACAAGAACATCGCCAGACTAGCAATGGCAGTGGAGATCCCCGGCAGAAGACCAAGTGCTAGACCGAAGATGCGATGGACAGATAAGATCAACGCAGAATTGAGAACTTGAAATCGATGAAAGTCAAGCTGTAAACCGTGAAGCGTGGAAGAGACTAACAAGAGTGGCAGACCCCGTATGGGAATGATGCAAGGCTAAAAAAAGCCGAGGCGACCTCGCCCAAACATTGGACGTGAATAAGGAATGGTTAACACCTTGATCTGCGCTCAATCAGTTGAGCGTTATCAAAGCGCACTGAAGGTAAATGAATAACTGAAAGCGATTTGAAGGATAGCCGAGCGGTACATTAAACTGCGCGTTAACCGGTAAGAGTTTGAAGCTGATCAGATTGCAAATTTTAACAGAAAAATTTTATTTTCCCTTTGAGTCGCATCACTGGCTGTTCCGTTTGTTCTTGAATCACGTTTTATATGAAGAGCCTGACATTCATGATCCAGATCAATTCAAAAACCAATCGGAATACTCGCATGGGATCCGCAAATTGAAACCTGGACAGCCACGTGCAACCGCACAGAGTGATAAATAGGTCGAGCGTGGGGTGTGGCACGCCACACCTGAAGG